GGAGAGGAGAGGAGGAGGAGAGAGAGAGAGAGAGAGGAGTAGCGATGAGCGAATGGGAGCGATTTATTAGGCGAGATCGTGAGGAAGGGAAATGAGGAGAGGAATGGGGGGAGGGGAGGGTAAGAGAGAGGAGAAAAAGTGCCAAATACGCGAAACACACGCGCAACGTATTTTTGTAAATCTGGTTTCATACGTAAGGCTAGAGTCGTGCGGCGAGACGTCGAACTGCCCGAACTGCCGATTTTATATAAGAACACGTTTAAGAGACACGCACACAAAACACGCAACGCATACGATGACACACATACACACACACACACACACACACACACACATTTAACACACTCTATAATATCGTACTCGTACACGCGTTACGAGGAGATCGGTTACGAGGAGGAAAGGGACGATACCCGCGAGTTCTTCTTTATTATGCGCGAGAATCTGCGCATCTAATCCACGCGCGCAACATTTACACGAGTACGCACCCATTTTTGGATTACTGCGAACATTTGCGCACGACCGAGTTACACGTTACAATTATTACACGTAAAGAGGAGAGGGGGTAAGAGAGATGAAGATGAAAAAGAATTAAAAAAAAAAGGAAAAAAGGGAAAAACACGCACGCGTATGCGCACGTGTACGTAGGAAACTCTACTACACGCTGCAAGATCTATCTATCTATCCATCTATCTATCTGTCTATCAACCAACGTGCGTAGATACACACCACGATCTCACGACACACAACGTACGAGCGCACACAACGCGATTTTTCATCCGCATATTCTCGACACATCGTATAATCACGGGGGTGCGCCGCGCTCGCGCGGGCACGACACACGCCGACACGCACAACCGAGCACACGAACAGAGGAGCTTGGAACCAAAAGAGGGGGAGGAGAGGGAGTCTCGCACGGAGCGCACGACGAAGGAGGAGAATTGCCATTATCAACGAGACGGGAAGAAGAATGCCGGTCGAGAGTCGGCGGTGATTATCGTGCCAGGAAACGCGCTCCCTCCCTCGAGCAACGAGGGGGGAGGACTCGAAGGAAGGTAAAAAAAAAGAAAAGAAAAAGAGAGGGAAAACACCGAAACTGAAAATTTCCCTTCTTTTTTCCTTTTCTTTTTTTTTTTTTTTTACCACCAGGTTTTCGTTCTCCCCAACAACTTTGATTTCTCTCCCGTTCGTTTGTTTTCTTGGTTCCTCGAAACCAAGTATCGACGTTTCTCGTTCCTCTCCGCGATCTTGTCTGGATCCAGCGACCCGAGGCAATCGTCCCCCTCCCTTAATCGTCCCCGTCGATTAATCCCGACGCATAAATTCCTCGGTGAATCCACCAAAATTCCTCCCTTCGTTTCGGTGTGAACGACCGTTGTCCAACAACGACGGGTGAACGGCGAGCGCGCGTTTATCTGGCCGCCGCCATCGATATCGAATAATTCCATCGCCGAGCGGATCGATATCCTTCTTCGTCGTGCGTGTTTCCAAAGAATATAACCGAGGAGAGTGAGAGAGTGAGAGAATGTGTGTGTGTGTGTGAGAGAGACAGAGAAAGGAAAAGATCGCGAGCGGAGAAGCTCGCAAACAACTGCCAACTTTAGGAGCAACGGCCTCTTGAGAGATCCGATCGGTTCTCAGGGGGGAGGGGGAGGAAGTTGGGGTGGGAAGAGGGTGGGGGGGTTATCGATAGAAGTTTGAAGAATGGAAACAGCGGGAGGGGAGGGAGGAAGGGACGATGTTGTTCGGTCGAGGAAGGAAGATTTTCGACGTACCAGGACGCGTCGTACGCGTTGTCAGCACGTTTCTCTTCTTTTTTCCCGGGTGAGGACCAAATCGAGATTCGTCACCGTTTTTTCCCATCCTCCGCCCTATCTATCGTTTCACATTCGTTGGACGAGCATAATAAAGAAATCCGTGGCGAGATCTAGCCTCGTTGGAACGCGTTTCGCTGAAAATCGGCCGAATCACGCCGAATTTTCTCCCCGATAATTGTTCGCGAGGAGGGGAACGATCATCCCTCCGTATCGATACCGATCCTCTCTGACGAAAGAGGCCGTGATTTCGGGGGAGGATACGGCGATCCCATCTCCTCGATCCCATCTCCGTGATTCCATCGATTGAATGAATTTTCTTTCGTCTCCTCGGTTTTTCAGATTGTCAGAGAGGAGAATCCTTCGAACCAATTCTCAAAGTTTCCCCTTTATTCCGCGATTTTGTTTTATATACATATACTTGATCCCCATGCTCGGTCGAGGAGGACGAATCTTGTTGGAGATTGGGGAGGGGAGAAAGGAGAAAATCGAAGGAAAATAAGGTGACGGGAGAGAAGAAGGATCATCGACCGTGTTATTCATCGCCTGTGATTTAGCTGCGCCCAAGCGGAAGTGGAGACGAAGCGCTCGAATCCAGATGGAAGAACGATGGAACGATGGTTCGAGCACGGTGTTTCCCGTTAGCTGCGCGTTCCAACGCGAGATTATCGGATGTTATTTGGAAGTGGGAGCACTGGTACGCCGAAAATCCTATTACTCATGTTTGTTGGAAGGCCGACACGCGTCTCGTGTTCCGTGAGATTCGCGAAATCGCTCGCTCGCTCGCTTCTGGGAACGCGTGATAGGATCCTCAATGGCCCAAAAACGGATACACACAAATCACGAAAGCTTCGAGACGTTGGAAACTCGTCGATGCTGGTGCACATACACACATACACATACACGCGCGTGCGCGCGTACACACGTACAGAGAAAGAGAGGGAGATACACCTCATCTCGATACGCCACGCCTTGGTATTGTTACACACATTGATGATATTTCTTACGTCTTCGCGAGTCCTTGCCGATGCCACCCTCGAGCGAATCGTTCTAACGTCTCGAAAGCTTTCCTCCACCAGTCTTTCAAGGAGACCCCGAGAACTTCCGGAGAAAAGAAAAAGGGAGGGAAAAAAGAAAAAGAATAAAAAAAGAAAAAAAAGAAAGAACAAACCTCAAAGTTCTACGAACTCACGCTTAAGCCATTCAGTCTTTCAGAAGCATCGACCATTCTCCGGTTCGAACGCGACCGCTCAAAGCGTGCTCGTTTCGAACGTTTATCGATCGAAAGGATGATCCACCGTCGAACGCCCATCGTTTGGCCACATGTACCGAAAAAAAAAAAAAAAAAAAAGGAAAAGAGGATATAGAGAGATAGAGAGAGCGAGAGAGGAAGAGCGAGAGAGCGAGAGAGTGAGAGAGTGAAAGGGAGAGGGAGAGAAAGGGAACGATATATAGGATAGTGGAGCAAAGGAAACGAGACACGAAGCTCATTGGGTGGGCCGGCGAGCGCGTTGAACGCGCACACTCGTGCATGCATACACACACAGAGAGACATTGTTTGTACACTGACAGTGAAAATACGAAGGAGACGAAGGAGGAGTGGAGGCGGGAGAGGCTAACTACCCGGCCGCTCCCTCCATCCGCGAACCGGTATATAATAATAATCAATTTATTTGCTCACGTAAAGGTAACGGTATAATATATTTAATATGTGCATACTAGGTAATAAATAAACAGGAGGTTAATCACACGAAATAATAATAATATTAATAATAACATTAATAATAACATTAATAATAACATTAATAATAGTAATAATAAGAATAAGAATAATAATAAAAATAATGAAAACAAAAAAGAATGAACTAAACGTAACCCGAGAACGATTGAACTTCGGGCAGCCAGTGGGGGCCGTGGTGGTGGTGGTGATGGTGGTGATGGTGATGATGATGGTGATGGTTGACAATTGTGTGCAGTATGGGAACGTATCGAGTTTGTTTGAACCGATCCGATGGACACGCGGGATGAACGAACGCGAGTGTCTGTAGGAAACGGGGGGAGAGGGAGGGGAGGGCGATCGCTTCCGCCGATCGAGTTGATACGACGAGTGTCTTCGAGGAGGAGGGGAAGCGAAGAAATTCGCGCCATTTCCCGACACCGTTGCGACGATTAACTTTCCTTCACGCGTAGTGGGGGGATAAGAGTAACAAAAGTTACCAAAAGTTTTTGGCAAACTGCCAATACATTTATGATTTATCGTCGTCGAGGGACGGACCGCTTCTTCTTCTTCTTCTTCTTCTTGAGGAGAGAGATGGAGTGGTATATCTTGGATATATCGGTCCACCCAACACGTTTCGAAACGTAGATCTAGGGCATTCTGGATTCTTTATCGATTGAATTTGTTAATTCTTGCTCAACGCTAGAAAAAGAGAGAAGAGAGAACGGAGGAAATATTTTTACTCGTGCGGAATCAGCGGTTCCTCGAGTTTTTGGCAAATTCGACGCGTTGCATCCGACTTCTTCCTTGTTCCCGTTGTTTAATTAATTAATTTACGAGACGGCTTTCAAACGGAGTTCAAACGTGTGACGTTATTAAGCGTGTTGCGTCGAATCGGGTTATAACGGGAATTAAATTCGTCGGATTCTTTGGCTTCTTTGACCGGCGAACTTTATCGCGAAAAATCGGTTCGAATTCCGATCCCTCTTCTAATTTCCTCGAAAATACATCCGATTACGCGGATCGATTTCTCTACGCCCCGTCGATTACGAAACAATGCTTCTCGTCAACGTTGAACGAACCAAGTATAATTTCGAGTTTTCCAGCTAATCGAAAGATCGCCAGTTCACGTTACATTCGTTTCGTGATATTCGAAATAATTTTCCCTCGGAATTAACGTAATTAACGTATTAATTTATGTTAATTATTACAAAGCGGATTAACTCGCGCGGGAGGGCGAAGTTTTAATCGGTGAAATTTCGAGATTCTCTGTTTGCTCTGTTTCTGTCTGGATTCGAGTTTTAATTTTTCACGAAACAAAACAAAAAAAAGAAAAGAAAGAAAGAAAGAAAGAAATAAAATGGGCAAAAAGTGGAAAAAGAAGGGAGAGTGTAAAAAAGAAAAAAAACTCAACGCAACGCGTGGAAAAGTTAATCGACGCAACGTGTAGCGGATTGCTGAAACGCGCGAACGAGTAATTTCAACAATAACAAAACAATGGCGGGACGACGGCCATTGTTCATCGCTTCCCCTCCCCTACCATCCCATCGCCTCGTCGACAACAATAATTGATACGATTAGAACGTTAAGGACGAGAGAGACGTGAAGTAAAAAAAAAAAAAAAAAGAAAATAAAAGGAGAAGAAGAACGCAACGGAAGAAGAAATTAAGTCACGAAGGAAAAGGAACAAGGAATAACCGAAATAAAGAAACGAAAGTTTGAAGGAAATCTTACGCTGTCTCGTTAAACGTTACTCGTTAAATTGATAATATCCGTTTGATAATAAATCCACGACAATGAAACGTAAGAACACGGTGAGGGAGGGAGAAGGGGTGGGAGGGAAGAGGATAAGAGAAAGAAGTAGAAGGAAGAAATCGAACGATGAAAGGGGGGGGATGGGGATCGATCGATTAGTCATCGTCGTCGTCGATTCGATCCATCCCCGATGTTCCCCTTTTTTTACGATCGTATCGATCGACGATCGGCTTGAAGGAATCGAGCACGAACACGAGATTAGCTTTAAAATCGTGTACATTAATAATAATAATAATAATAATAATAATAATAATAATAATAATAATAATAATAACAACAACAAAAGCAACGTAACAAGCGTTGTAGCTGTTGTCGTTTTAGCCACGCATCGTAATCGCGCGTCGTTGCGATCCACCGAGGGGTTGTTTGATCGAAGATCCCGGACGTTTATATAGCGCGCGTGTGCGCTAATGGAAAATCGGAGCCTCGTAACGTTGTCGTGCCTGTTCGTCCCTTCCGTAAACTTTCACCCTTAATTAATTAAAAATCGTCGAATTCCGATCGCGCGCTTCTCCGAATAATTGATTTTTCCTTTTTTTTTTTTTTTCGTAAGAAGAATGAAAAATGAAGAGATTCTTTTATATTCGATACCGATCTCCTTCGACATTGCTCGTTAAAAGAAAGAAAAACGAATGCACGTGATACGTCGCAAACGAGTCGTTCGTCTCATCGGATATTCGAGGTTTATTTCTTACAGTCGATCGAAGTATTGTTAACGTTTATCGATCCAAGCTCAACCGTAACCCCTTTTCTCACGGATTTTTCGCGGTGCGTAGGGAACGAGATATCCTTCCCTGGTTGAATGAGACCAGCTCGAGGAGGAACGATGAATAATCTCTCGAGGTGAATGGCGAAGCGAAATAATTCTGTTTCATCCGAGGTTCCCGAGGTGTCCGTGTAGGATATATCCAGGACGAAATTTCTTTTTTTCTTTTTTTCTTTCCCCTCTAACCTCGGCGGGGCGGAGTCGGTTCAGTTGGCGTGGACGTTGAACAAGGGTGGGCGGGCAGGCAAGGGGTTGTGAAAGGCTGGCCAGGCGAAACCGAGCGTCGTAATTGAATTTTTCAGTCGCCTCGAGCCTTCGTAGACGCACGATTCATTAGCAGTGTAAACCCCAGGGCTGGAAATTAGGGCGGGCATGTAAGGTAAACGAGGGAACGAACGCCCGGCAAATGGATTAAAGCGAGCGAGTTCTGATTCGGCGAACGTGCGCCCGTTCTCACGGGGCCAAGGAGGGAGGCTCGATTATCACGGACGTGTCCACCTTTCCCTTGGACCAACCAACCAACCTGGGCTAGAGGTTTTGATTAAAATTTCGAGCTTGCTCCCCCGCGTTTGTCCGCCTCGCGTTTGTCTCTCGCCTCTTGTCCCAGGATCGAGGAACGGGATGCACAACCACGATGGGTGGAGGAAGCGCGTGATCGGAAAATATGATCGGTAACGGTAGAGAGAGAGAGAGAGAGAGAGAGAGAGTGAGGAAGAAA